GCTGTTTGTGGTTGCCCTTCACATGGTTTATTGTGGAAGGAAGTACAACTCCTCTGAAATTCTTTCTACCACCTGAACACAATAATAAAGGATCATCCTCAAAAGTCAATTTCAATTGTTCATAACAGTCTGTCATTCAGTTCAGCCCAAAAATCATAGTAAATCATTTTACAAAGTGCTTCTCTAAAAAGTTCCACTTTATGACTGTCCCAGACATCAAGAATGGATCCATAAAGATGATCCAATTCCAACAACTGTGAAAAGGCAGATAACAATAAAAAAGTCACATTTCCTGTTTTTCCATAGCACTGGTCTGGTGAAAGCAATTAAGGTTGAAAAACAGAAGACAGTAACAGGTTATTGGTACACTACAGTTTGTCTTCCTAGAATTCTAGACACTGAAAATTCAAAGTCTATTTTGCATTATCACAGACTGCCAAACAGTGTGTTGATTTCTTTCAAACTAATAATATCAGAATCTTTGAACATCCACCATATTCACCAGATTTGGCAATGTGTGACTTTTGGCTATTTTTTTAATCTCATAAAAGCATTTGAGAGGTTACAAGTTTAACACACAGGATGAAATCAAAGTTTCCATGATGGAGTATTTCAATAGCATTTCAGAAAATGAGTGGTGTTGTGCTTTTCATCTTTGGAAGGAGCAACTACATAAGTGCATATGGCCAGAGGAGAGTACTTTGAACTTAAAATATTTTGTTTAAAGCCTTATAGTGTTCCTGTAATGCAAAACTTTCAGTCATCCCGTATTTCACACAAGATAGAGTTTTCATACAATCTGAATACACACCAAATTTTTGAGATAGCTTTTTTTCAGTATAAAGAGAAAACAATATCCAAATAAAACTTATAAGAACAAATCTCCTGTGCAACAGAACAAGTTTTCTTTCTTTGTTTTGTTTATGTACAGGGAAATCTTTACATCATGTGTAAGTTCGCCGACTTCCAGGGGGAATCATTAATCCTGCGTCAGGATGATCTAGGGTAGTTCGCGTGTGGGTATGGCAGAGGAGACACAGATGACAAGAATTTCACAAAAACCTGTTTATTTCAAACATAAAATAACTTACATTATGACACAAAAATGTTCTTTATACAATTGGAGGTTTGAATTGTCGATTGTGTTTCTAATGTTGCTCGAAGGAAGGTCCTGGGGCAACGGCAGGTGTGGATATTCGTCAGTTGGTGCCGGCGGTCTGAGTCTGTAGTCACAGGTTACCAGTTGGGCACAACAGACGGAAAATTGCTTTTGCGCGTTGACCTCATGCAGGTGCACAGTTTCAGAAAGTAAATCTGTCCTTGAAGATCGGGGGTTATATCATTCTCCGTTCTTTGTTTTGTTTTCCTCTGATTGGCTCCACATCCATTTTTTCTTGCTCCCTGATTGGTCTCTCATCTGTCTCTAAGTGAAAGACGATTCCTGTTCGAGTCACCAGAAAGATCTGCTTCGAAGAATCTACTTGACACCATCCGTTACTCTGAATGTAAAATGTTGATGGAACTTTGAAAATTGCACTCATATTTTCCATCATTGTTGTCTCGTCTGTGACGTTTTTGAAATTTAATGACCCGCCGCAATGTCCCTTTTCGTCATTAACCTTTCCCCCTTTTCAAAATTTCTATGTTCTAATTAATTGCATATGAGCGACTTGTCAAAGGTCCATCTCTACTGGAGGTCGTTCGTTTACAATTATTAATCATTTATAATTATTGCATTTTGTTTACATCAATAGTGTTTTTTTCTCTTGTTGCGGTTTCATACGACTAGAACAACTAATTCGATCTTTGAACAATTTTTAACAATGGACAATTTTTCTAGTTTCATTTTACCAAATTACTGTAATAAATCTTTAATATCAACCTGTGTTTGGAACCTCACAGGGCTCTCCGCTGTTTTAAAATGTGGCTTAGAGGTTAGCGACATTTTACCTGTCAGCTTTGAAAGCTGTCAGCCCATGCTTCCATCTTTACAGAAGTGACATAACATCAACAATGGTCTACAGTTTTGTTATTCTTTCACGTGTGTCTGATCTTGTGTTACATCAAAATGTTTTTTTTTTTCAACAGATCATTTGATCGAACAAAACTTCAATTGTTTCTTTTTTTTTTGTTGCTACAATTAAATTTTAATGACCGAAAATGTTGTTTATTCGCACGCATTTTTCGCACATTTCCTAAGCTTTTCCTTAAAGTCGATTAAGTATACAAATTGGTTGTCAAATAAAACAAATTGGGTTAAGTCAAAAAGGTTTAATATCAGATATAACATACAATATAAAATAAAATAAAAATGGATTACAAATTTGAGTTTAATGCATAAAACATATAGGCTATAATATATATATATATATATATATATATATTTTTTTTTTTTCAAGTTTGACACATTTTTTTTCTCAATTTTTTTTCTTTCTCAAAGTGCCCTTCTGACAGGTTCTGCCAATAGACAAAACAAGTCCCCTGTTTTGTCTATTGGCGTGGTGGGTGTCAGCTTCTCGCTCTTCCCAATGCACGATACCATTGCTCCTGCTCCTGCAAAATCCTCTGTGACCTTTCCCATAATTCTCAATCTCACCCCATCCCTCAATAGATTCGAGGTGGAAAAGCTCTACAGGTTACCGAACTCGAAGATCTAGATCCTTCGCGGTCCCTAATATCCGGTCCGGGTAGAGATGAGTGTCTCCTTTCCTGGAAGCTCTGAGCCCTCTCAGCTGTGAAGGTCACAGCTTCGTCAACCTCTCGCTGCAGGTCTGATGGAATGTCCATTTCCTGGGTCAGGATGAGTAGTTCTGGATACTTTAACGTCAGGGGAACTTAAGATTCGCTGAATGACGTGTCGAACAGGTGTAGGATTCACCATACGCCTTTCCTCCCCCGACCGCTGGAAGAGAGAGCGAACGCGGTCAAAATCTATTTCCTCAGAGACCCACGATCCCGACGACTCTGCCATGGCCTTGTCTGTCAACACAAAAGGAAGCAGTTTTAGTGTCCAGTAGTGTGTACTAGTTCCTTAAAACATTTGTGTTTTATTTATTTTTTTCAAAAAGATACAGTTCCCGTCTCACGCTGCCTTATGAGTTTACTGAGAAATTTCCACGGGGGGTTCTCAAGGATTTCTCCCACACCGGGTCATATACAACAAATATGTGTACTCTTTAACCAATATACGGCATGAAAATTCCAAACTAATATTGGCAAACACTTTCGATGCCCCTCCTGGGCTCTTCAGGCCAAATTTAATGTACTGGATTCTTAAATCGAATATTTTAAAATAAGAACGTGCTCTGTTACTAGAAGTTCAAATGAGGAATGTAATCACGTGCCTTTCCGAATTATAATTTCTTTATAAATTTATATTCGTGGAGGTATGTTGTGCGCATCTTATAATAATCTCGCGTATTTTATAATCACGTGCCGTTTCTAAAAATAATTTTAACTAGTGGATATACGATGTGCGCATCCCATAATAATCTGGAGTATCGTATAATAAATTACAATTCATCATCCAATAAATACTGCCACGCTGTTGAGAGATTTATTTCTTCTTTAAGATTGATGCAGGTTAGTTTGCGATCTGCTTTGTAAATTTCCATCGCTTCCAAAGTTCTTAGATGTTCATGATGACGAGTGGTGTGGATGACCCGTGCCTCATTAAAAATCGGGGTTATGTCTGGGTTTGTTGCATATGTCGACAATGCTGTCGTATATTTGTTGTGGGTGATGTCTGCTTTATGTTCCTTTATTCTAGTAGCTAACAAACGTTTAGTGGACCCTATGTAAATTAGTTGCCTTTGCCATCTATCGTCCATTAAGGGAATGGTGTATATTCCCGGTAGCCTGTTTGGGTTATGGGCGTCTTTTCCGTTTCTTAATAAATTATATATGGAAGGGTTTCTTCTTATGTAATTCTAATTCCTTTTTTCTTTGCAATTGAATTATATATCGTTTTCATTTGTGAGTTGTACGTTACTGGGACCCTTTCCATATGTTCTTTATCAACTGCTCCTGATGTCTTTTCTTCATCTGTTTTACTATTTATGTGAAGGTGCTGATTACATAATTTGTTTATTATGTTGCCATAACCGTGGTCTTTAGCGACATCTCTAATATACGCTAATTCTTGTTGTACAGCATAGGTCGTGGAAGAGTGGGAATAGGCCCTTTCTACCAAAGTCCTGAATGCCGCTATTTTGTAAGAGTATGGGTCACAGGAATTGATGGGTATGTATGATGGTATAGTTGTGGGTTTTCTATAAACTTCTGTTTGTATTGTTCTTTCTTTAATTTCTATATCCAAGAAGTGGATTTTTTCTTCACTATGCTGTTCTAATTCCATATAAAGGCCATAAGGGTTGTTGTTCATGGCTGTCTTAAATTGTCTTAGGTCTGGTGGTGTTTTCCAGAGAATTATAACGTCATCTATATACCTACCATACATGATTATGTTTGAAAGAAAGAGTGGTAGGGTTTTGGTTTCTAATGCCCTAATTACCATTTCGCACAAGTTTCCAGATAATGGACTTCCCATGGGTACTCCTCTCTCTTGTGCACATGTGTTTCCTTTGAACTGGAATACCGAACTGTAACAGGCTAGATGGGCCAATTC